CAAACACAATGTTCTCATACTTGCACTTCTGAACCCACATACATGCCACTGCTTGTCTCTCGATCAGTACTCGTAAGGCGGAGCGCATAACTCCTACTCTGGCTCGTTCTTTTGCAATCTTGAAAGGGCCTGGCCCCACCTTACCTCTCTGAGCTCCTCCGCTCCTGCCCGGTGTCACAGGTCTGTGGACCAGACACGATTAAAGGTACCGAGAACGAAGCGGATGCTCAGAGGGCATCGAGCCTTTGCCCTTGCTGGTCCCTCTCTTTGGAATGAACGTTCGGCAAGCCCCCTCGCTGCCCATCCTTAAAACTCATCTCAAAAATCATTTTTTTCTTTGGCTTGTGACTCATCATGAGACTTGATTTTTAGTAAGACTATTTTTGAGATTTCTGCTGGCTTTGGTTAATTTATTTTTTGTTGGTGTATGAATTATTTTTGCTCCATGTACAGCACTTTGTGTACAGCGGTGGTTGTTTTAAAGTGCTCAAGAAATACAGTTGAGTTGCGTTATCTGACGGCCACAGATACACACACAAATACCTTAAGTGAGGTGCAATTATTTGGAGTGGGGTCAGTGCTGGTCAGAGGCTGACACAAAGCTAGTGGACAAAGATTGTGCTCAATATCTAATTCGAGGCTTTTGGGGGTGGATAACAAAGCACCCACCCCCAATGCCACCTGCTTTGTTTCACTCTCGATCTGGCCCGGCTTCTCACCTCCCACTCGTGTCTCCTGTTCCATGTGTGCGCTCCTGTCTGTCACCAGCCTGCCTCGCATTCCACTCAGCGCTGCTGCGCCACACTTACGACTGTCGATGCAACTCAAGCCGCCATATTAGGCAACTGCAGCAGAACCTGCAAGACCATCGGTAACGGGTCGATCGCGGGAGGTTGGCTGCTTGAAAAGATGGGCACCCCTGATGTAAAATATCATTTGCGAGAGTAGTACTTGGTCAACGACTGGTCCTTTATTTGAACCAAGGTACGGCACACTCACGTTCCACGTGAATACACCACTGGCACGTGCACACGTCCTGCTTATTTGTGTTTGGAGTCAGCTGCGCGCTGCCTACAACACGCACAATACCGGGGTCGGGTTTGCCTCCATTATTTTTGTTTTTCTGTCCAACATTTTATCAAAGGCATATTCTATTGATGTCCATCACATGTCGATGGAATTGATATTCAATTATCGGCCAGCCGGAGATTAAACAAGATATTCAGACTGCTTTGACAGTGGACTACAGAAATTAAAGACCAATTACTGTTAAGAGGCTGAAATCAGACGTTATGGACGAATATAACTTAAACAACAGCTTGAAACAATTCCTTGATGAATAAAATAGTTGTCGATTAATTTGATAATCGATTAGTTGTCGATTCATGCGATTAATTGTTGTTGTTGCGATGTTACACTGGCACAGTCACATGACAATCTACGGCTTCCTTTGTAATCTTGAATGTTGAAGCGAATCTTTGGCAGAGATCTGCATTCAACTGCGTCTCAGACTCCACCCATTATCCGTGCTGGTTATCGTCACGAGTGTCGCTAACTACTGTATGTTGTCACGTGTATTGAACATCCATTTAACCAGCAATCATCTGTTCGGTTTCAGTCGAACCTTTTTGTGCCCGAATAGAAAGTGACAATCTTTCATTGTTCCTGTCACTATCGCATGGGTACTTTTCCATGGCATCTTTATACTCTCCTACCTCACAAGGCCTGTCTGGTCTTGCTACAGTCTGAGGTTTGCTCACCTGTGTCAGAGTACAGGAATAGGTCTCGGGTCGTGTGTGTGTGCGTGTGCGTGCGTGTGCGTATATGTCAAACCGCTCCCTTTTCACTGTCAAACTCCAACAAAAGGCTTAGTGAGCTTGTATGGGTTGAGCGAGAGATGCCATCAATCTTTTTTATTTCAAATGTCGACTAAACCAGAAAGTCAGGTCCGATATGCATAGACCAGATTTTACTCGAGCCTCCTCACACAGTCGAGCCAGGACCTGACGCAAAGCGCTAATATTTGTCTTGCATCTAACTCAGCAGGTGTGTGTGTGTGTGTGTGTGTGTGTGTGTGTGTGTGTGTGTGTGTGTGTGTGTGTGTGTGTGTGTGTGTGTGTGTGTGTGTGGTTGTGTGTGTGTTTTTTTTAGTGTAGTTTTGGGCGGAAGCCTCACCAATGTCGCCGCTGTACTGCCTTGACAAATGTCAAAGCTTTGTGGTTAGCGAATTACCATCATAGCCCACCGCAAGTTTTAGGTGTGCCTTTTTGGCAGGGCTTCCAAAGTGCTCCCCGCTTGATCTGTTACACGGCGCTGGTCCAGCTCTGACTTGGCCCGTTTGCAGAATCGAACATCAGTCTTTGTGGAATCATTTGAAGTCTAAACTGGTTGGAAAGGAAATGTACCTGTATTTTCTTCCATCCAAGGGTCGCGGGGCGTGCCGCAGCCTATCCCAGCTGTCTTTGGGAAGTAGGCGGGGTACATCCTGAAATGGTTTCCACCCAATCAGAGGACACACACAGACGAACAACCATTCGCACTCACAATCAGACCTGGGGACAATTTCGAGTGTTCAATCAGCTTACCATGCATGTTTCTGGAATGTGGGAGGAAACCAGAGCACCCACAAAAAACCCACACAGGCACCGGGAGAACCTGCAAACTCCACACAGGAAGGCCACAGCCGGAATCGAACCCTGCACCTTTGCACTGTGAGGCAGACATGCTTATCAGTCGATCACCGTGCCGCCCATTTTCTGACATTTTTTTTTCCTCAATTTAAAATATTTCTTTGTTGTTTTGATACGTCGCTGACATATCTCAGTCAAAATACACAAAGGATTAAAAAAAAAAATTACAGCACACTTCATGTCCACTTGTGGGTATGTGAGGATGTGATTTTCTCTCATGCAAATAAGCAGCATAATCTTTCATAACGACTGGGGTGGAGCTACGGCACTTGACTTTGAATGAGCGATTGCCAACTTAGTGACTGACGCTATATTTAGTGGGCCAACAGCGATGCTCCAAGTCACTGACCTGTTTTGCTTTTGAAATGGCAGAACTGTGATACGCTCATACCAAATCCCAGAAGAAAATGACACAAACCCCCCAAAATATTTTAAATATTGAAAAGAATTGAAATGACAGAGCGAGTATGCAGGAGTCGACTGTACTACTTTGTATACTTGACATAATCTGTTTGTATTTACTGGCCACCAAATGGCACCTCCGTTATTGAGGGACCTCCGCATCCTCATGACCCCAACGATGGGCGACGCCCACGATATGCCTTTGTCTTCAGCATCGCATCCCCCATGATCTGGTTCAGCAGTGTAAAAAAAAAACAAACCTTATTGATAGGACGCTCGCATCTACTTCAGCAACGGAAGCGAGGCTGGAGCGATGGAAAGTGCACTTGTGATGTCTTGCTTTGTCGTATGATGTAATGCTAAAGTGCGTTCACCTCATTTATGCTGATTCCAGATCCTCGTGTGCCCGTTCCAGTCCGTTCACCCCAAACGGTTTTGATCAACAGTGATCAAACGCAAAACAGCTCAGGCCGACGCTTTCATGTCCCAAGGGTGCCTCATCTGTGATGTTAACACTGCCTGATTAATGTGAGCGTCTTTCTCACAGTTTAATAGACATTTGGCGTGTGAAGTGGAGCACACGCCATTTTTAACATATGAACAGATTTGTAAGAAACATGACAGATCCTCACACAATGGAAGGGAAATAAAGCAACATTGGGATTTACTTCAAAAAGACAAAAAAGTCTATGTTCAGGATTATTTGTCATTCTGGGTTGGGTTTTTTTTTTTTTTTTTCATTTTTTGTTTGTTTATTTATTTATTTATTTATTTTTATGTGTCATAAGTACCAGTGGTGTCGGTATGAGTGAATACTCATCCTGGTATCGTTCTGTCAAAAAGTGGTATTGAACATCCTTAATTTATCCATCCAACACTTTTAAATAGCATTGAAAGTCATTAAAACACCCTTTTAGAAAATGCTGTCGTTTCCGTGTACATGCATGCACCTTCAAGAGGCGGGGCCTGGCGGGGTGGCTTGTGATGTAGTCTGTGGCTGACAGCAGCTTCCGTGTATTGTTTTACTATTTGTGCGGCCTTCATTAAACGGCTGAAAAGCACGTCGACAACACATGTGAGGGCATGAGGAAAATTTTTTGCTTAAAACTAGGGCTGTATCAATACAAGTAAAGGACAGTACACTACAGTAAAGTTATGAACTCTTCTCCTTGTTATTTCTATTGTGAACCTATGATCCTAACTATTGAACATGTTTACGATTTTATTGTCATCAACCGGATCGTTTTGGGATCAGAGACAAAAACAAACAAACAAAAAAGATCACTCTTGAGCCACCCCAAACCAAACTCACGATCATCTTTTGAAATATTCTGTCATCGGGCCTTTTCTGTCTTTCATCGCAAGGGAGGGAAAATGCTCAAATTTGCCCCGGTTGTTGATGTGCCACTCACTTTCGAAATGCACTTCTCTAGGCCGCTTCACAAGGGTGTGTTACGTACTAGGCATGGGCATTCAACCAAATTCAATTTCAAATGGACTCCCATTTCAATACATTAGTCATAGCGAGTACAATTTTGCTGCCCGGATGAGCTCAACTTCCCCGTGCTCTCATGTTGTCCTACTTCAGACAGCAAACTGGTTGAGACTCAGCAGAACCTCTGCGGAATGCAGCCAATTTGTCCACTCCATTTTGCTTCCGTTGCTTCAAGACATCATCACTCAACAGTCAATTCACAACAAAACGCTATTATGCCCATTTCTACGATGCTCTGATGTCGTCAGCTCTCCAAAAATAGCCCTCTGTGAGTGGGAATAGGATACCCCCCCACCCCCTCCCCTACCACCACTACCAGTCCCATCCCGCCCCTGAGATAAAAGGAACGCAAGCTACTATTTTGTACACTTTTAGTTGGAAGGCATGTATAAAACCTATGTGTATGTCTGTAGTATGGCCGGTCAGACAGTTACCGCGTTGCCACCACACAGGACAAAGATGACCGATCCCCCAAGAAGAAGAAGGGGGGGGCTACGGGAACTAAAGACATGGACGACCTGAAGAAGGAAGTGCCCATTGTGAGTATTAAAAAGAAAAAACCTCTACATTTACTTCTCAAGTTTGCTTTACATCTCATGTCCTCGCATTTAACTAGTGTCTCTCACATTCGGCGCGGACACTGCGAAGAGAATGAAAATCTCTAAATCATACAGAGGATGAAAAAAAAAATGTTGCTGCTTTTTGAAAAATATATATTTATGATGATTTTTTTCGCTGATAAGACTTATCAGGAAGTTGCCACTTTGATGCCTCATCGCAGACTCACCTGGCTGCCATGATATACTTTGTCAGGTGAAATGCATGCATGTAGCCCATTTCGATCCTCAGCAAGTCCAAGAGCTTCCTCAAAGTTTCTGGTTGTAATCAAGAGCGATTGCCAGTGTTAATTTGGACACTTTGATCATGACAATGGCCGACGTGGGCAAACGTGCTGCAAACAGCCGAACGCTCTGAACACAGGAATGCTGCAAAACACATGAAAAAAAAAAGAAATAGACACATGCAAATTAAAAAAAAAAAAACAACACAAAAGAACTGCAAAACAAAAACGCTGCAAATGTCCAGATGCTGCAAACGCAGAAATGATGCATACAAAAAACAAACATGAAAATGCAGAGAAAAAAAAAACATACGAGCAAAAAAAAAAAACAAAAACAAAGTAAAAGCTACATTAGTACCACAAAACAAATGCAAAAATGTGTTTTGTGGTTTGTAATGTTTGCTTTCACTTTGTTGCTGTGATTGCACCATTTCTTTCTTGCGTTTGTGTTTTTTCTCTGCATTTATGTGTTTATGTATTTTTGTTTGCAACAGTTCTGTGTTTGTAGTATTTGGACATTAGCAGCATTTCTTACCTGCAGCGTAGTTTTGTGTGCGTGTGTGTGTTTGCAGCGTTCGGCCATTGGCCGCTCGCTTGCCCCGGTTGGCCGACCATAGTTTATCCTGCACGCATAATTTTTAGGCAAATTAAATCTGTGTATGTGTCATGATTGTACTTTTTTCCCCCCTCTCTTATTGTTTTTTCTTTTTAATTTTTTATCCCCAGACGGAACACAAGATGTCCGTAGAAGAAGTTTGCCGGAAATTTCAGACGGACATTGTCCAGGTACAGGAAATTATTGTTCTTACTTTTGTCCACTAGATGGCCTCACAGTACTTCAGTCCAGCAAGGACTAGTTCTCTCAACTCTTTCACATCAACAGCACCTGTAATAAAGTGTTGTACATGAGGAATAAAAGTCAAAAATTAAAATGTAATACAATGATAATCATCTATATGTAGTTTCTAGTATATCTAGTTTCTAGATAAAGTTGGTTTGTATTCTATTTTTTTCCACAGTATTTCATTTTAATTTAGTTTTAAGTAGTTTCAGTATTGAACTTTTTAAAAATAGATGAAGTATCTGACAAGTGCCAAAAAAGGTATTTTTGCCAAATAGTGAGCCAACAAGGCTCATTCTGTTACAACAGAATGTCATAAGTAAGTACTATTCTGTCCCATTTCCATAACGGTACTTTGGCCTCAAGAACCATACCAAGTAGTGCATGTTATTCCGTCATTGATGGGAGAAAAAAATGCTTTGAAATATAACGTAAACTCTCTTTTTGTCTGGAAACCCCTCCAGGGACTGACCAATGCCAAGGCAGCAGAGGTTCTGCTCAGGGATGGCCCCAACGCACTCACTCCGCCCCCCACCACCCCGGAGTGGGTCAAGTTCTGTCGCCAGCTCTTCGGCGGCTTCTCCATCTTGCTGTGGATCGGCGCCATCCTCTGCTTCTTGGCCTACGCCATTCAGGCCGCCACCGAGGACGACCCCGCTGGAGACAATGTGAGTCACATGCCTGTCCATCATGTGTGCTGTCTCTCTTCTGCTCATATCACATTTGCGATCTGCCTGTCTGTGTAGTTGTACCTAGGTATTGTGCTCACGGCCGTCGTCATCATTACCGGTTGCTTCTCGTATTTCCAAGAGGCCAAGAGCTCCAAAATCATGGAGTCTTTCAAGAACATGGTGCCTCAGGTAACGCGACCCAAAAGTCAGATTTTAGTCAAGTGTTTTTGTCTTTGCGTGAGCCTTCACGGTGTGTTTTTCCAACTACCCCTTACAGCAAGCGCTGGTGATCCGAGAGGGAGAGAAGGTCCAAATCAACGCGGAAGAAGTGGTGGCCGGAGATCTGATCGAAGTGAAGGGAGGAGATAGGATCCCCGCCGACATCCGGGTGGTTTCAGCACACGGCTGCAAGGTTGAGACAAGCAGCTTTTGGACCGCAGCGTGGTCGTGAAACAAGATAATCCAACAAACTCACAACATTCTTGTCTTCTTTCACCTGAATAGGTGGATAACTCCTCCCTAACCGGTGAATCAGAGCCTCAGAGCAGGTCACCCGACTGTACCCATGACAACCCCTTGGAAACGCGAAATGTGGCTTTCTTCTCTACCAACTGTGTGGAAGGTACTGTATGTTAGTCTTAACACGTGTGTTCCCCAAACACTTGATATAGTTTTTCTCAAGCAACACAGCGGCAGGCAACTCGGTTCGGCCCGTTTAATGGTTCAGTTTTCAGAATTGTACTGCTAAATTTCTATCAACAAATGTCTCATAGCAGGTGTTAGATAGACTTGTGTTCAATGGCCACATCTACATCCCCACTACTTTGAAGCAAGGCTGAACTCCAACATTAGACACAGAGATGACACATTAAAAAGGCAAAAACGGTCCCCCCATACCTTCTACTTAAAAAAAAAAAAAAAAAAAGAAAGAAAAAACTTGCATATGAGTAAGGATGAAGGCGCTCGCGTTAGGGGGCAATCCGTACGTGGAGCCAGAAGGCATTCGTTGTAACTCAAGTAAAGGGAATGTTAGCGTTTTAAAAAGGGAGTTTCTGCCCCAACAAACCAAGGAAAAAAAATCTACAAACCGACTCAATTGTACTCCACTTTTCTGCCAAAACCAGGCACGGCGCGTGGCATCGTCATCTGCACTGGAGACCGCACGGTCATGGGTCGCATCGCTACCCTGACGTCTGGCCTGGAGACGGGCAAGACCCCCATCGCCAAGGAGATCGAGCACTTCATCCACATCATCACTGGCGTGGCCGTCTTTCTGGGCGTCACCTTCTTCGTCCTGGCCCTCATCCTAGGCTACAGCTGGCTGGAGGCTGTCATCTTCCTCATCGGCATCATTGTGGCTAACGTGCCCGAAGGCCTGCTGGCTACCGTCACTGTGAGTGGGGTTCATCCTGCATTGATTTCTGCTCTGTTGCACATGAGAGTCCATTTTGACACGCCATGTGTCCAGGTCTGTCTGACCCTGACCGCCAAGCGTATGGCGAAGAAGAACTGCCTGGTGAAGAACTTGGAAGCTGTGGAGACGTTGGGCTCCACCTCCACCATTTGCTCCGACAAGACGGGCACCCTGACCCAGAACAGGATGACCGTGGCCCACATGTGGTTCGACAACCAGATTCATGAGGCCGACACCACCGAGGACCAGTCTGGTGAGTGTCAGAGACTCTCAGAGGCGGTCACGGACACAAATGTGCAATTAACCCAAAAGTTTCCAACCTTTTTTCCACCTGCCTTTATTTAACTGCAGAGCATTTTAGCAGTTCTGTGCTCGCCCCTTAATTCGGAGCATCTCCATATCCCCAGTATAACGGGAAAATATTATATCATAAATTAATTCGCATTACAATACCAAATATCTGATTATTATACATAAATGTTTTGGTGTTATAGATTAGGTTTACATTCAAATAAAGGCAAAGAACCATGAATGAAGATCGAAACATGATACAAATGAATAAACAGATCAAATATATGGACATTAAAAATAAAGCCGGTACGAAATATGCCATTTTAAAATAGCATTCTACTCCATTGCGATGTCGATGTGAATGCGATTAATTGTTCAGCCTTCATCTTTGGAGGTCCCCACTTTTAAACCTGCAGTGTTGCTTTTCCCTCTTCCTCCAGGCGCCTCGTTCGACAAGAGCTCGGTGACGTGGCAGGCGCTGGCCCGCATCGCCGCTCTGTGCAACCGCGCTCAATTCAAGGCGGGACAGGACTCGGTGGCCATCCTCAAGCGCGACGTGGCTGGCGACGCCTCCGAGTCGGCCCTGCTCAAGTGCATCGAGCTGTCCTGCGGCTCGGTCAGGATGATGCGGGAGAGGAACAAGAAGGTGGCCGAGATCCCCTTCAACTCCACCAACAAATACCAAGTAAGTTGCGACAGAAGACGCCGTCGTTTTACACCTAAAAGGAAGCATCTCATCCGAAACACGCCTTGTGTTCATCCGCTCTAGCTCTCCGTGCACGAGACGGAGGACCCCAATGACAACCGCTACTTGCTGGTGATGAAGGGAGCCCCCGAGAGGATCCTGGATCGCTGCTCGACCATTTTGCTGCAGGGCAAAGAGCAGCCCATGGACGAGGAGATGAAGGAGGCCTTCCAGAATGCCTACATGGAGTTGGGAGGACTGGGAGAGAGAGTGTTGGGTAAGGACATAACGAAGTGCTTTTATTTCTCGCATCCGCTCATCATCATCACATCACAGACATTCATCATTTTCTTCCCTCGGTGGCCAATGGCCATTTATTTACTAATACATAAAACCCCCACAACAAATATTCAGCAGTACAAAAATCTTAGGTGAAAAACACAAATACAGTATCAGAAATAGAGATAAATATTGGAAAGTATTTTTTTTTCATAATATGACCAATATTCAACAAGAAGAGATGTGGTGCCACAAGATGGCAGCAAAGCGATACTCTTCTATTAGTCAGGACTACTTCCTCTTCTTCTCCTTTCGGCACGTCCCTATTCAGGGGTCGCCACAGCGAGTCAGTAATTTCCATCCGCCCCTGTAAACCGTCCTACCAACTCGCATGGTCGTCTTGGCAAAAGTTTTACGCCGGATGCCATTCCTGACGCAACCCTCCCCATTTCTCCGGGCTTGGGACCGGCACAGGGGAACAGTGCACCCCCAGGGGAGGGCACTGCCCCCCAGCGGCTGGGTTATTAGTCAGGACTACAGTCAGAGTAAATAAGATCTTGGAAACCAAAGCAAATCTGTTTTAATTAGAGTGCAATGGTGTAAGTGACCCATATGTGTGAATTCATAATCATATTCTGCATTATAGTCTTTTTCAATATAAATCCGTCAGAAACATTGATTCACACTTCATCCAGTTTTCAACTGACTGATCCATTTTATGCACCTTCCAGGCTTTTGCCACTTAATGCTGCCAGAGGACCAGTACCCGAAAGGCTTCGCCTTCGACACGGATGACGTCAACTTCCAGACGGACAACCTTTGCTTTGTGGGTCTCATGTCCATGATCGACCCTCCCCGCGCCGCCGTGCCTGATGCCGTGGGCAAATGTCGATCTGCTGGTATCAAGGTAGAGCCTCTTTCAGAAGAAACCAAAGTCTCAACTCTCGGTCACATAAGTTGCTTGATGGCGTATGCTCGTTGATCCTTTAGGTCATTATGGTCACTGGAGATCATCCAATAACAGCAAAGGCCATCGCCAAGGGAGTGGGCATCATCTCCGAGGGCAACGAGACGGTGGAGGACATCGCGGCTCGTCTCAACATCCCCGTCAGTCAAGTCAACCCCAGGTAAGTATCTCGGGTACAAATTCCCCTTTAAAATGTTTGAAAGACCCCTAACGTTGCTTCTGTGTTTTTATTAGGGATGCCAAGGCTTGCGTTATCCATGGCACTGACCTGAAAGATCTCTCTCAGGATCAGATGGACGACATCTTGAGGAACCACACTGAAATTGTCTTTGCCAGAACCTCCCCTCAGCAGAAACTGATCATTGTGGAGGGCTGCCAGAGACAGGTACTGTACACTATGTTGAATTTCAAGGAGACATATGATGCCTTTTTCCCCAGGTGTCTTCATAAAATTCTTGTGACATGCTTCTTTTAAAACACCAGAAGGATTAAAAATATATCTATATTTTTAAAAAAATGCACACATCATGCAGTACCTTTCTGAAATGGGCTCATCGTCTCATTAAAGTGAGTAGAGGGAGCCTCTGCTTTCTTAAATTAAACGGTCAGTCGAGGGTTTCATCACGTGTTAAAATAAAAGCTGTTTCATTCATCCGCTCCACTGGAGGACAGTAAGCTACCTTCTTCAGGAAACAATCCACCCATCCATCGATCTTTCGATCCGCTTTATCCTCACAAGGGTCGCGGGGGGTGTTGGAGCCTCTCCCGGCCATCTTCAGGCAGGAGGCGGGGAGAACTGGAAAACTCAGAAATAAGATTTTAGTTTGTGTGTAGTTTTCAAATGGCCAAAGGTGGCCACAATAAGTAAAATTTCCTATCAACACTATTATCAATGAAAAAAATCCCCCCCTAGTGATGTTTTGACATTTGCATTAACACATCTAAAAGAAAAGGGTGAAAGCGAATGGTCAGCCAGCATTGCGCCTTGAACGTTAAATGGAGGACTTTGTGCAGTACTGAAATGAGACAGCAGATGGCGACCGAGGCCTACTGAACAAACCCTTAACCTCCCCATCTCTCCCCCAGGGTGCCATCGTGGCTGTGACAGGCGATGGCGTGAATGACTCTCCTGCCCTCAAGAAGGCCGACATCGGCGTCGCCATGGGAATCTCGGGCTCTGACGTGTCCAAACAAGCCGCGGACATGATCTTACTGGATGACAACTTTGCTTCCATTGTCACTGGAGTGGAAGAAGGTGAGTGCGGACGACTCCATTGCCTTTCAGCATCAGTCATTTCTTCATATCCTGAATTGTTGATGCCATTACTGTTTAAGGCCGTCTGATCTTTGACAACCTGAAGAAGTCCATCGCCTACACGCTGACCAGCAACATTCCAGAGATCACACCCTTCCTCCTGTTTATCATCGTTAACATTCCTCTGCCACTGGGCACCATCACCATCCTCTGCATTGACCTGGGTACCGACATGGTGAGCGCCGCCCAGCGCTTGCCAGCGCAAGTCGAATTCCATTAGGACTTTCAAAACTGAAATTCCAATTGACATCAATTAGGAGTGGGGTTAATGAGGTACACTTTGCTGGGGTTCACATCACTTTCCTCTTTTTTTTTTCACAAATTGATACAATTGGTCAGTTGCTGCGCCTGTATGTTTGCAATTTTTTTTATTTTGTTGAAATTGTCTTGATCTCTTTGGCTATGCAATGTTAATAATTCAACAAAGTGGGGGGGTTGTATTTTTATTTATTTATTTATTTATTTATTTTTGCTGAGCTGCACTGTGTTTAATGATTGAGACTTGTGGCTGGACACCATTCAGTTAACAAAAAAAAATTTCAAACTGGAAAACTCAGAAATAAAAACAGTCAAAGAAAAAGCGAGAAACACATAGAGAGCAAATAGCAGAAGGAGATGCAATGAGGTAGCTTGCGTACTATGCCGACATCAAGCATGAGGACAATTTTAGCCTCTAAAGCATATTTCCCCCACAAAATCTATTTAGCGTTTCTTACCCATACTAACACGCTGACTTTTACTCAGGTCCCGGCTATCTCGCTGGCCTACGAAGCAGCAGAGAGCGATATCATGAAGCGTCAGCCTAGGAACCCCTTCAGGGACAAGCTGGTGAACGAGCGCCTCATCAGCATCGCCTACGGACAGATCGGTGGGTCCAGCCCCCTTTCATGTGCATTTTGCCGTGTCTTTGTGTGAAAGAGTGAAGCTGACCGCCTCGTCTTGTTGATCCGCCCCCCCGGTTAGGTATGATCCAGGCCCTGGGTGGCTTCTTCTCCTACTTTGTCATCTTGGCCGAAAATGGCTTCCTGCCCAGCCGGTTGGTGGGCATCCGCCTGGACTGGGACGACCGCGCCTGCAATGACTTAGAGGACAGCTACGGACAGCAATGGGTACGATACGACATCATAAAAACATTCCGTATTCTTCATTTGTCTTTGTCGTCAATCTTCGCGTGAACCGTACCATCCTGCGGGGGTCGGGGCGGACGACGTTGCGACTTTTGTCAACTTGCCATGTCGCCTTCAGACGTACGAGCAGAGGAAGATCGTGGAGTTCACGTGCCACACGGCTTTCTTCGTCAGCATCGTGGTGGTACAGTGGGCCGACGTCATCATCTGCAAGACCAGACGCAACTCCGTCTTCCAGCAGGGCATGAAGTCAGTGCAGCATCCCCCCGCCCGGCCTCATGAAAATGACTGGCCAGATAGACGACTCTTTAAAAATCGTCCTCACTATTTGCCCCAAACAGGAACAAGATCTTGATCTTCGGCCTGTTTGAGGAGACGGCCCTGGCTGCCTTCCTGTCCTACTGCCCCGGCATGGATGTGGCCCTCAGGATGTACCCCCTCAAGTAAGAGTTGCCTCCTTTCCCCCCACCGATGATGACGGCGCCAACATTATGCCCAAAATGCTCCTCACTGTTTTAATTGATCACTATTGTAATCACGATGATTCATCACACCGACTCATGATGCTTGTAAAAACAACCAAAGGATGTCGATCCCTTTGGAAGCGTGAGCGCCTCACCACGCTGCTCCTCAACTTCCAATTTTTTGTGCGTGTGCTTGCAGGCCTTCCTGGTGGTTCTGCGCCTTCCCTTACAGTTTCCTCATCTTTGTTTATGATGAAATTCGAAAGCTCCTCATCCGCCGGAACCCTGGAGGTCAGTTTCAGTTCACATTATCAGCATTCTCATTTGAACTTTATGTTCTGTACTTTATTTTTGATTCAGTTTCTATGTTTTACATTTTGGGTGGATATTATTTCCTCCTAGTATTTTTTTTTTATATTTTTTTTTTTCATTTCAGTCATCCACTTTATTTTATTGTTTGTAATGACATTTTTTACTTTGTGTTTTTCTTCTAATTAAGTTTACTTGATTTTTCTTTTATTTATTCAATTGATTTAGTTTATGCTTCTTTTTTGAGTTGTTTTATTTAGTTTTCATCTCCATAAATTAAATGTTAATTTGATTAATTTTGCACCCTTTTACTTTTTGGGGGTTATGTTATTATGTAAATATTGTTTGATTCTGTTTGAATATTCCATATTTTCTCAGATTTTTTTTCTTGTATAAACTCATCATCTAGTAAAATAATGAGCTAATTTTTATTGTTCCTTGATTTTTTTTATTCAAATAGTTTAGCATTACTGTATTTTTGTTGTGTTTGTTTTGCCTTTGTCCTTTTCTTGCAACTGAAGTAACGACGAAGTGTGTGTGTGTGCTGTCCTTGTCATTTTCTCTCATGCAGGTTGGGTGGAGAAGGAGACTTATTATTGATCGTTGGAGCATCTTGTTCCTCATCGCCCCAAAACATTCCCCTTCCCTTCCCTCCTCCCTCATCTTCTTCCACTTACTTCACCACCTCCAAATCACCTTCCCCTTCCCCCACCCAAGAAAAAAAATGCTTTGAAGCAATTTTCATCCCAACTGCCCCAAAGATTCAAAACAGCAAAAGCACCTTTACAACTTTCGACATACACTCCACCCCTCCCTTGCCCTCGTCACTGCCCCCTCCCATATGATAGTCTTTGCATGTGTTCTTTCACTGCTGTGTACATAAACCAGTATAATAATAATAATAATAACAATAATAATATCTACCAAACGGCAGCTGCATATTGTCTTATGTAGATTCCAAGGAGCCGATTCGGCTGAAAAAGGGCCACCCTGCTCTCCCATGTCCCTCCAATCTACCCCACCCCCATCCCACCCCCTCATACACACACAAATAGCCATCACACTGACTGACTCCCACCTGCGCCACAGTGTTGTTGTTGTGTTAATTTTTTTTTAATATGTCAGGTAGGGGGACTGTTTCACTGTTTTTTTTGTTTTGTTTTTTTTAAATTCTATTATTATTATCACGGAGGGGTAGAGGGCATACCTTGGCACCCCAACCCCCACACTCCAGTCTCCCCCCCAACCCCCTCTTCTTGTCTCTCGTTTGTGTACACTGTGTGACAGCATTGTTCTTGTTCTTACTATGAAACCGCCACCCACCCACCCACCGTCACATCACCAATCTTTCTGTGTGCTCTAGGAAATCTATATAATTCTATACTGAATTTAAAATGACACCCATACAATAAAAGATGGGAAATGTTCGGGGGGAAAAAAACGAAATAAGAAAACAACCCATTTTATTAATCCAATTCTTTTGGCCCATTCCGTTTCAAAATGGGCGCCACTGCTGTCGGTGTGCGCTATGGTGGAGATGATGATGATGATGATGATCATGTGTGAGGATGAAGATGACAGTCCTGGTCCGCATGTGTGCGGTCTCAGGCTGACTGCCTTAAGGTTGTCGTTCAAGATCAATTGAAAAGAATCCAAACAAAGGCTACTTGTTAAGAACAAACGTGTGTCAAAGAAATGAAAGCAACACCAATAAAACATCTAGAAACATTTAATACAACCTCATGTTGACTATGGCTTTTTCTTTGGAAAAAATATATATATATATATATATATAAAATGCAAAAGAACAGACAACAGTATTTCTTGATTGCTGATTGGCTGGCAAAAGTTGAGCAATTTTTCCCCGGAAAAGCCTGATTGGTGGTATAGCCCCTCCTGGTTCAAGAACTTTTTTTTTTTAATTCACATTAAATCTTATCAGGTTAAAATTTTGTAAGTTTGGGTTCCATAATTGGCATAATACGAAGCGACAACTTTACACAATCAAAACTTCGGAGCCAATCACCAATCAGCGAGTTTAAGAACACTTGTTAACCACTCTATCCAATCAACTTATTTACCCTACAGTCGACTCCTGCTATTTGTGGGAATTGGGGCCAGCAGTCCCACAAACAGCCAAAAACTCATCATTAATACTTGGAACACAAAATACTGCAGCTACTGTGATAAAATCAAATAATACCAATAATTTTTGAAGTTTCTTTTTAGAGGTCCATGCCTCAAGTAGGCCTATGGTCCGCCCATTGGGACAGGTCTGCGCAGGTCTTCTGATGTCCTAGCACAAGCAATTCAATCCTATAAGCATGCCTATGGAAATGTAGCAGTGATTGAACACTGGCTCACATTCATGTTTGCCATCTGCTGTAATGTTACGGATGTGCTGTGCCAGCGCACTGAGGAAGGGCCTACACCCGGGGGCCATCGGGTCGAGGAGACACCCAGGATGGTTCAACCAGCCCCCAAGGGGTAAGGACCGAAACAGTTGCCGTCAAACAAATTAGAATGCCATGTACAAATGCAAGCAACACGGTAGTCGACTGGCTAGCAGGTCTGCCTCACAGTACAGAGTTCCACCGTTCAAGCCGCGGCTCCGGCCTTCCTGTGTGGAGTTTGGATGTTCTCCCCATTCCTGTGTGGGTTTTCCCTGGGTAAGTGTTTGTGTGTGTGTGTGTGTGTGTGTGTGTGTGTGTGTTCTTATATATATATATATATATATATATATACACACTCAATATGCATGTCTCTAATAATGTGTAATTTCAAGCGATGATTTTTTTAAAATGTGTGACGATAAGACTAGGCTGCCACCTAGTGTGACTTCCAACATTGCACATCGCTTTTGTCTCAGCATAATAAAGCAAAAGCAAAGGCTCATACGATTCACATCAGTTTTAAAAAGAACATTTAACAATCATCCAAACATCTTTAGTACACACTCGCTTTCTGTCGGCCCGTATTTTTCCTCCACATCTCACTGCAGTGTGAATTCACTCACCCCACCCCCTCATTCCCTCCCACACCTTCAACCACACTCCATTTAATAGAATATCGATCCTCGCCTTTACTGCAGTGAATAAGACAGCGTGGGTGAGAGACACATGAGAGAGGGGGTTTGGGGGTGGTGGTTTCCAAGGTCATTGCCATGGTAACCTGAGCGATGGGGGTCCTCTGGAGCACGGATCACACAGGTCATAAGAGGGGTGGTGAGGGTGAGCGCGGGGAGGTGATGCCACGTTTGGAGTCAAGAGCTCGAGATGGAAGATAAGAGCAAATGTCCCTTCCCGCTGCAAACATGGAATATAGTGAGAAAACTAAAGACGCATTTTACTCAAAATTCACCTGCACACATTACTTGCGCGATAATTTTTTTCCCAATTTCCCTGGGGTTGTTTTGTAGATTCAATTGCATCTGTGAGTGAAATTTCAAGCAAGGTCCACATTACTGTGATGTTGTTATTGATGTGAGGCTATTTTTCTCTAGTGCAAATTGAGGTGAACCAGTGAGAAATTTCAAGTCAATTTGAATGATTTGAGGTGAGGGCTGTGACCTGTCTGCTCACGGATAGCAACGTGAGCAGAGAAAGTCAAATAGAGTAAATGATAGATTTGTTTTGTTTTACAACAGATTGAATTGAAAACCGTATGAGACGTTTCAAGTTAGACTGATTTTGGGTAGAGGGTGAGGCCTGTTTGCTAAAGGTTAGCAACCTGAGCAAAGAAAGTGAAATAAAAGTAAATGTTTTGGTTTGTTTTTAGAGAAAATGGAGTTGAACCTGAGTGAGAAATTTCCAGTCCGTCACATTTAGTATCTAGGATGCTAAACTTTGACCTTGAACAGCATGCCTTGGAGATGCAGGTTTGTCCAAAATTCCATATTTATAACATGTTGTGCTTGAGGAGAGGTCAGCCAATAAACCAAGAGATTTTTGTTCTGCTTGTATGGAAGAATTTTATTTATCACATACACTTGAAATATGACCCGATGAAAACATGAAATGTCAAAATATGTCACCCGGCAGCATTATGTCACAAGCTCAAATCAAATGAAAAAAAAGGCGATTTTATTACTGCAGAATCAATATAGGATTCAATATGTTCAAAACTTGCACTTTAGTAGCATTCAGAGGTGCATCAATACAATACAATATGGTGACATAAGATGCGTCCGTGTATAAAAGAAGTCAAATTTGGCATTTCATGATCATGTACTTGAATGCACCGTAAAACGATGATTAAGATCATACGTGTGTAACAGCAATGCGTTGAAACCAAGGTTACGTATATCACACGGACTCCATGAGCAGCTCTTCCATCTCGGAGTTTTCCAGCTCTCGGAATGCAGCGTGACTGCCAATCACAAACAAGGTCGCACCTTTGGGGGGGAATAATAAAAACAAGTCGAGATGAAATGGTCCTCTGTTTTACCAAAAACGCCCTTCAGGATGACTTTGTCAGCATTTATCTAGTCAATGTGGTGCATTCAACAACTCATGGTTGTAACTCGGTCTGGGTGAATGTCAGGCTCAAAGGCGCAGAAAAAACGTAAATGACAAGCACGGTTGGAGGAGGCAAGAGAGGAAAATTTGAAAAAAATATATCTTGTGAGCTTTTTTGTGTCTTCAGTGTTATACAATAATCCCCCCCCCCCCGTTCCCCCTTCAGCCCTCTCCATCTAGGGTTTGGGATTCGAGGTCCCCTTATTTCGAGTATTGTTCTTAATCTATTTTGTTCTGCTTCCTGTTTATTTTGGATGTAATTCTAAAATCGACCACTAGATGGGTTCATACTATTTTGTAGAACATGGTTTATGTTTGAAATAATGAAAATGCACACGTATATCAGTTTATCCTATCTTTCAAAGATTATGAATGTCTAATCCCCTTCGAAAAAAACTTTAAAACATATACTGTACTGAATATTTAAAAAGGGTATTTCTATATAACGTATTTTTCTTGTTGCAGGGGAGGTCTGGAACCTAACCGCTGCAATGGAGGGAGGATTACTCTACAAAATATAGACTACTGTATTGTCACGTGCACACATCAGTGAAGGAATATGAGGCAGTTTATCGGTGGAAAGAAGTGTGTTTAAATAACGGACTCACCCAGAACCCAAAAGACAGCGGCTCCGGCTCCAGCCAACCAGAAGACTGGTAAGGAGATTCCTCCGGCCAGGCTCATCTGGTGCGGGACAGTCAGCTCCTTGCCTGAAAAATAAAAACAATTGTGCAGACTAAAAACAAAGGCATACAAAATTACAGATTTATGTGGAGCCTTGCCTTTGGCCTTTTTCATATTTCTTTAACTTTAGTGATGGGAGAAGAAAAAAAAAATTGGGAAGGAGAGTTAATATTGGCCGGTGAGATCGGTCGGCCAATTGATCAGTCAGGCCCGAATACTTACCAAGGATCACCAGCTTGGACTCTAGCGATTTAAGGTGGATGATGTAGAAGGCACCAACGAACACGGCCAACGCTATCAGTAACATGGGAGAGCTGATTCTGAAGACAAATGAAAACATTCCCGATATCCATCATCACACAACAGAAATAAACACGGCCATGAAATAATCTTCTGTTTAATAAAAACATTAAAAAAATGCTCGTTCACACACGGGTAGTGTAGACATATCATCCAAGAACTGAAATTTTGCTTACATGCAGTAGAGGATGAGTCCAAGGAAGATGAAAGTGTAGTTGCTGTTGTACGTGTCCACATTCTTCACCACGCGCTGACACATCTCGCCGAAGTTGCGCGGCTTGGAGAATTTGCGCTGGTCTGCAAAACTGGCCCATGGCCGGATGGACACCCGCCGCCGGTCCAGCCACTCTTTGGCCACGTTGGCTGAAAAGCCTTTAGGGAGGCCTAGCCTGAGGATGGACACATCATGGAAAGTTTACGTTTAAATTCTTTGCGCAGGCCTGATACTAAACGTCTTACTTAGCAAGGATCCCAGTTGCACCAGTCGTGCCCGTCAGACGAGCATCCTCAGCACCAAAAACATCTCCAGCTTTGCTCTCCATGTCCACCTGGCAGTTCTCACCCTTTGGAACCTGCATCTACTAATTTTCTTTAACCCTAAAACGAGAAATTGCTAACATTAGACGAGACATGCTTCAAAAACGTCACTTTACAAAAACGGTCTGTTCGGTTTTTATTTTAACTTGGTTATTGAACATCTAACAGTGGATCATTAATGTGGTTGATGGTGGACAACCGTGGAAACATTGATGTTTCTCCACTGGAAAATATGAGTCAGACACATATTCAGCGAGTCCGACACGTCAAAAAACAACATTGCTTTAACAGGGGTGAACTAGCTACGACAACAGCGAAAGACATTCACGACGTGTCACTTATTTTTCTACCAGTGGCTTCTTCGTCTTTGTTTCAAATGCGTAGACAACAGTTAGAAACTGGTCAACTGCACTGGAGGTTCACCCTAACAGACGGATAAAAGTGAGGTTTAGATAAGTAATTGCAACAAAAATAAACTCACACACAATCGAAGAAATCCGGGTTATCTCCGGGTGTTGACGGAAGTGACGTGTTTATCCCGACGATCTGGTTGGAAAACCACACAACAGAGCACTTGGTCCAAACAGATCTGAAATCAGCTTTGGGAGATTTATTTCTTGTTTACTGTGGCGATATGGATAAAAACTGACACAAGACCATCAATCTATGGTCTGCGGCAATATAAATGTGTTAACTGACCTGAGATCGGCTATTCTCTTTTGGGGAAGCGATGGGAGGTGCTGTGCAAAAAACTCAAACCATGATTGGACAGTTTCTGAGCATCGTTTTGCGTTCAGGAATTTGACAGGCCTTGCAGATTTACGTCTGCTTCTTATTACTTAGTGTTGTTTAAAATAAATGTGTTTCATCATGTTCATAAATGTGTGTACATTGCAGGTTAAAACAGAAAGGAAGGTGTATTAACATTTAAAATTCACATGCAGACCTGAGATTACCGATCAAATCTGCCTCTTCCACTTCACAGAGAGACACTGATTATCAACTGATACCAGACCAGCCACAATAAGAAGCGGCGTCCTCATAGAACAACCGATTTGAGATCAGCCTTGGAATTGTCACTCTGTTTTACACGTGAGAAGACGGTGAATACCCTGATACCAGATCAGATTGGTCCTGCGAAACAATATATCTCAATTACCGACCCGGGATCAGCTATTAATTTTTCTTCCCGCTTCACAACTGTTGGATGACGGTAAAAATCTGACACCAAACCAGCCATAAAATGCGTCGTCTCTGAGCAGAACTCGAGTTGTGATTGGCCAGTTTCTCAACGTAAGGAAGTTGTCACGCTGTCTATTTAAAGGGCGTGAGTTGTTTTTCCTCTGTTGTCTGTTAAAATATCGTCCTGTCAACGCAATGACAGTTTAATTTATATAGCTTCATGAGCCCGGAAAGGCGTGCTTATCGACTATAGTCCATTCTTATGAAGACCTGTATAATTAGCACAACGTAGCTCTCACCGTTATGGTCCCGTGATAACTGAAACTCACGCTTGTAAGTGCAATATTGAGATATATACTCGATAAATCTTGTGTTATTAGTTATTTCTACTGTAGTAAGTAGTAAGTATACGTCTGCTGTTTAAAGACTATTGTAATGTTTGTGTTTCCCCTCGCAGGCTTGGTGTCATTTCTCAACGCCGGGAATTCCACCGAAGGTGTTCACCTGACGAACGACCCACCACTACTTTTTTTGTTTCACAGGGGAAATACTTCAGAAAGGTGAATTTAATACAACAAAAACAATAAGAGGGAGGCATTTTTCGGTGAATGTCAGGCTATCTCTTCCTGGAACACAGTTAGCTTGTTGGTTCAGCTAGCTTGTTAAGACACCTGTTTAAAGCCATGATTTCGTGATGTATCAGTGGTGGAATGTAAACGCGTCGTTACTGTACTTTTGAATTTTCAGGTACCGCATGCTACATGAACTGATTTTCAAATTGAAATTCAGTGGTGACTTATACTCGATATGCATTCCCCCACTTCATTGTCTTGACACAGGTAACATATTAAAGTGGCTGCGTGACGTCGAGATGGCCAGCTGCTCGCTGAGGCGCTCACTTGACTGGGATGAAACCCAGTGCCTCAAATTTTACGGGTTGCTGTCCCTCCACGAGGTCTTCAAAGTTGTCGGCTCACAACTGACAGACGCCGATATCGACGTGCTTTCTTTCCTCCTGAGTGAAACCTGCGCCCCCGTTCACCCCATGGACCCCGCCGGCTGGACGGTGAAGCCTGAAGAAGACAACCCGCTCAACCCCGGCGAGGCCCCGAGTCCCAAGCTCCTGGCGGCCTGGAAGCGCTTGCAGTCGCAAGGCTTCCCCCAGCCTATGGTGGCCTGGTTCAAGCCCAGGAGCGGACTTGAGCTGTTGCTTGAGCTGGAGAGGCGAGGGTATATTAGTGAAGGCAACCTGGAGCCACTTCTGCAGCTCCTCAGGGTCCTCACCCGACACGACTTGCTGCCTCTCGTGTCCCACAAGAGGAGACGAACAGGTGAGTCTTGAAGTCCGATAGCACTACCACAAATGTAGTCAGGATTTACAAATTATTTTTGATTAAAAAACACTGACCGTATTTTTAAATAAATTGAAAAGAGTCAGCGAATATAAAAGTCTGCTTACGCAAAACCGCGAGTGTGCTGGGTCTACTGCATATGTCGGGTATAAACACAGTATGTGTCATGCTGTGAGAATGCAGGGAACGAGGGGGCACCATGTGAAAAAGCCACTGCTCGTGTCTCATAGTTGTACGTCTGTAAGGAAAGGACTATTTTTGCCATCAAAAGCACTTTCGTCGTCTTGTTTATGTTTGAGAGGTTGAGGCGACTAAAGCAATGCATATTCACAATAAAGTCATTGTTCCCCTAAAACACCATCACTGAATTCATCCGAGCGGCACGCTTCAGTAGTTGTCGCTATTTTGGTCAACAAGAGAGCACAAATGGGCCCAGCAGTTAACTCCATAATCTTCGCATGCAAACGGTAGTGTGAAGTCACACCATATTTTTTGGGGGGGAGGGTATTTAATAAGGGAGGTGTTTATTTACTGTCTTAGTCTGTACCCCCCCCCCCACCCCCCACCCTTGATGAATATTCACCTTGTATGTTTCTGACATTGCAGTGTCTCCAGAAAGAACTGACAAACGAAGCCTGGTAGAACACAGAGAGTTGTTGTGCACTTCTGGCCCGAGGGTGTCCTCCTATAGACAAGCAGAAATGTCTCTTCCTTCCTCCACACAGCAAGTGAGAACAGGTAGAACTGCTCATTCAAGGCTACAATTACCATTCCAGGAACCCTATAGGCCTACTTTGCTCAGGTACATTTCCAGTCATCTGGAAAGCCAGATCATAGTCCAGCCAATGTATTTCTGAAATGGGTCGAAACTGAGTAAACAGACAGCGAAATGAACCCATTAGAGAAGAGTGGACATGATGACAGGGAAAACAAAAAACGTCTTTTTTTAAAATAAGTGCTCCCACTGCCACCAGCTACGGGGGTTTTAATGAGTCCATGCGTTTGTTTTTTTTAAAACCGATTAATCTCTGAGATGAAACGGAATCGCCGCATATCTCGGGGTGGCTGTGAGCGGAACGGTGGAGGGGCTTCCCTCATCTTCTGACAGAAAACATCGCTAGTGACCTGCAGTTGTGTTGGCTGCTAAATCTCAGTTTCCATTCTCCAAGCCTGCCCCCCACGCTACCCTTTTTTTTTTTTTAAAGCAAAATGCTAAAAACTTTTTTCCCCATAATGCCACAGACTTGCCCTGTGGAAGTTTAAAAGAAATATTGTTTTTAGCATTTGGCCTACATGACATCAATTTGTTTGAACAATAACTAAATATAATTAGCGTGTATTTTGTGGATTTTGGTTTTGACAGTGAATGGACTGTTTTACCATTCTGAGTGAATATTAACGACTTTGCCACATGGAGTTTGACAGATTTGCATGGGCTCAGAAAGTGATGCGGTTTATAGAGCCGGGGGGGAAACCACTACTTTTGTCCACCTCGTGACAAATATCCCAACTCATATTTCTGCTTTGCGTCTCAGGGTTTGACCCTCCAGTGGCTGGAGGCTCCCTGCAGAGGAGAAGACGACGACGAAAAGGGCACGGCTGGAGTCGCAAGCCCAAGAAGACCAGCAGGCAGGCCCAGCAACTGCCACCAGCAGCACCGTCTCAGAAAGCTTCATGCAGTAAGAACAGCACCTTCATTCCCCAGAGTAGATGATCGTCTATTCCCTGCACATTTTCTCTGATGCAAAACCATGCCGTGTTTTGTTTGACCTGCAGTTGTGTTGGCTGCTAAATCTCAGTTTCATTTCCCAAGCCTGCCCCCCACGGTTCCCTTTTTTTTTTTTTAAAGCAAAATGCTAAAAACTTTTTTCCCCATAATGCCACAGACTTGCCCTGTGGAAGTTTAAAAGAAATATTGTTTTTAGCATTTGGCCTACATGACATCAATTTGTTTGAACAATAACTAAATATAATTAGCGTGTATTTTGTGGATTTTGGTTTTGACAGTGAATGGACTGTTTTACCATTCTGAGTGAATATTAACGACTTTGCCACATGGAGTTTGACAGATTTGCATGGGCTCAGAAAGTGATGCGGTTTATAGAGCCGGGGGGGAAACCACTACTTTTGTCCACCTCGTGACAAATATCCCAACTCATATTTCTGCTTTGCGTCTCAGGGTTTGACCCTCCAGTGGCTGGAGGCTCCCTGCAGAGGAGAAGACGACGACGAAAAGGGCACGGCTGGAGTCGCAAGCCCAAGAAGACCAGCAGGCAGGCCCAGCAACTGCCACCAGCAGCACCGTCTCAGAAAGCTTCATGCAGTAAGAACAGCACCTTCATTCCCCAGAGTAGATGATCGTCTATTCCCTGCACATTTTCTCTGATGCAAAACCATGCCGTGTTTTGTTTTTTTTCTACGTCGCCAAGCTTTGCTTTGCTGCTGCCATGATGAAACGCATCAAACATTTGCATACCAAGCCATTTTTGTCTTTAAACCGCAATACTTCTGATCATGTGACACTTGGCCTCCCTGCACTGAAAGTCATTGACAAATCAAGTTAATATAAGAAGAATCGAATAATCTGACACTCAAATGTGTTTCGGTGCTGCACACGATATACTAATACAATTTTAAACTCCAATGTCAGTCCCCTCAGTTTGAGTCGAATCATCCATCTATTCTGCATGTGATTTTCAATCCACAAGAATCCTTTTTTTTTTTTTAATTAGGGATGGGAGTACAAATCCAATTTTAAGAACAGAACAATCATTTATTGACGCGTCATGGAGAGCGCCGCTTGACTGCAACCGGGGCTCCCTCCACACGAGGCGTTCCAACTGTGTTCAGATCAACGCGACTGTGCTAAAAATTTGATTAGAATTTAAAATTGTGACCATCACGAATACCGTAGCGTCTCTGCAATTAAACCTGCTTTGTGACTTTGTCGCGACCTGTCCTCGGCATCAGTCGCGACCGGTCGGATGTACTCTTTTCTGCAAAGCTGCTCTATTGCCCGAATTTCACTTCTCGTTAACATCGCACACTTGAACCGCAGCTTTATCCATTTCCACCATTTCCCTTCTTGATTGATCTGCCAAAAGCCTGATGCTTTTTGGCGCACGCTATTCCTCCCGGGCACGACCAAGGCTCCTGTCACTGTGAACATGTTGCTGCTGCTGTCCTGACCGCCCATTTGATTCCAGCAGGTTGGCTCAGGATTGTGACTCAATAGGCACAAAGGATGATGATGGACTCAGGGAGGCAGACTGAGGAACAAAACAAAAACAAAAACAAACAACCCGAACGGTCCATGCGTATGGCTCAAGTGTGGGCCCAAGCTGAAGGTAAAAGAGGGTCCTCCTTTTGGTGGTCATACAAGGAGTGGGTGCCCGTATGTCCTGACGATAGCTGCTCATTGCCCAATGCCTCTCTCTTGCTTTCGAACGTCCTTCATCAAACATAGCCTGCAAGGAAACTGGGGAAAACCATCCCAATGTCATTTGAAGAAGTCATTGGTCCACTCGCTTTTCTTTTGACATCAGCACCAGTACACGCACTTCTCGTGTTGTGGCCAGAAACATTTAACTGCAAAAGAGACCAGACGTCGATGACAGGGAAGATTTTGCATTTATATGAGAGGGAGACCTTTACAGTGATACATTAACTTGCGGAATTAATATGTTCTGGAAGAAATTTCGGAACGAGAAATTTTTTTAAGTTGAGACACAAACTTTTCTGTTGACAGCAGTTGACATCTTTTCACACTTAAGGGTGCCATGGCACGGTGGTTGACCACGTCCGATCGTAATGAATACCGTATGAGAACTACCGAAGGGATCTCGGTGCCGAATCATTCCGACCGATTTCAGTGTGACCACACTGAATTGGTTTTTTTTTTCCCCCTCAGTGTAATTGCAGCGTCCGCTCTTTTGCAAAATGTTAAGCTATGCAAGAATCGATGCCCGAATGAATTTGACATTTGCCTCCCTAATGTTGGCATTTTGCAAACTTTGCCCCGCTGGAGTCCGGCGCAGCCCGACGCAGCCAAATGGCACTCAAGGGTTGACTTTGAACGTTGATTAGCAGGAGGATGATTAACTGCACTCAAACGATGGCGTTCCTCCTCTCGAAACGGTCATTTGGGCATGTTGTAAGGCAGGGGTGTCAAAGTCAAATGGACGGAAGGCCAGATAAAAAATTTTGCTGCAAGCCGAGGGCCGGACTGATCGAATGTTCATTGAAAATTTTAAAAATGACTACATATTGTTTATTGAATCAAATTTAATTGACTGAAAACCTAACAAATACATTCCAATACGGTCAGATAAATAAAGCAACATTTTTTATGGCTATGTCAGTAAACTTAAATTTTCAACAGGCACAAAAAAATTTCCTTTGTAAAAAAATACCCATAACATGAATGAAAGAAGCCGATATTATTCAAGGCACTATCACTAGTCCATATTTTCTCTTTTAGCAAAAGTAGGCTAAATTTACTTAAAAGAAAAACAAATAAT